GATGGGTTTTGTGGAGCAAGCGAGCCAGAAGCAGGAGCACACGTTACCTGCAGATTAGCCGATGGTTATTTGGAGCGGATTCGTCGATTATTCTCGAATTTATAGCGCTTCGTGTGAAGGCGCGTGGAGATGGTCTGTTTGTTTTGTAGCCAGCCTTTAATTCTTCTTTAGTGGATAGTACCTACAATTTCAAAACTCAACAAAATGCCACTTAAACCGGCCAGGAAAGACAAGGATACGTTCAGTTGAAGGTATCTTAGCTTTGTTTTGTTATATTTTGACTTTTAGACTATTTTAGTCCATGGGAGTTTCGACGACTCATCGCATTAATTTGTCCATGTGGATATTAATATATTCATTCAGTGACACATACTACGTCTGGGCCGCCTGTGGGTAAGCTTACAGTGTGCCTTATCAAGTGACAGATTTTCGCAGCTAGTTTACAAGCTCTAAAATAAAGGCGTGAAACACGTGCGATCGAACAATCTTACCGTGAATGGAAAGTTGCTTTCTTGAATGACAAATCCTTCCACAAAGTGAGTCAGAATTCTTGGCGACGAACTCCGCTTGGAGACACGAGCGATTTGATCGACATGTAGCGTGTTTGTCACCATTTCCATTCCTTTTATAACATCTTACATATTCAGCATGGTTTCAACGACAAAAATAAACAGTGATCAGGAAGAAAGATCCATTCTAAAAGGACCTGCCATCGGAATATTGGACAAAGACTCGGCAAAGACACAAAAGCGAAAAATCTCAAAATGGCGACATGTGTACCTTTGAGCCCGCATTGTAAGAACAGCAGCTTGTTCATTTACAATATCTACCGGGGTAGGGTAAGTTAGATATGACCAATCAAGCTTTTTACAACTGCCTTATTTTATTTTGATAAAACTATGACACTTGGTTTTAGATTACTGAACTTTATGGCATAAAATTTACCTGCAATACATAAAATCGTAAATTTTGAAAGTTACGGTTGACGTACATTTGACGTACATGTCAATACAGCTGTTACAACTTAATTTACCCCTCCCCGCTAAGTAACCTTAGCATTTCTTCCCGCTCAATTTCAACATGGCGGACGATAGGTTCGATGTTGTTGTCATTGGATCTTGCTTTGTGGACATGATAAGTTACGTTCCCCGTCTCCCAGAATCCGGTGAAACAATCAAGGGAACAAAATTTCAGTTAGACTTTGGTGGTAAAGCAGCTAACCAATGCGTAATGGCGCAGAAGCTTGGAGCAAACACCGCGATGGTGGCAAAAGTTGGAAATGACCAGTTTGGAAAAGACACCAGAAACAACTTTAAAAGATTCGGCGTTAACACTGATTTTATAGCAGTGACCGATAAAGCAGAAACAGGTGTCACCAATATAGGTAAGAAACTGAGAAGTTGCATAGTCATAGCTAGATCGAAGGAACAAGCTTAATCTACCACGGGAATTAATGTGTCACTGAACAATTACATAATACCCGGTCACGAGAAAGCGTTACTACCTTGAGTGCCACCGCGGTGCTAAATCAACTCTTAACTGAGTTGATTATGAAAACTAAAATTTGTCACGCAGAAGAAAGCTTTAAGAATCATTACTCATTCTCCACCACGTGTACATACTTACTCGCTCTTTAACAAACTCAAAATGCTCAACATATTTAATATTTATAAGTACCAAGTTTCTTGCTTTGTTTTCCTTCACATGCAGAAGCTCTTGTCCTCTCCTCTTTCATCTCTTTTCGTTCTTAACTCTGATTGTCATCAATATCTCACCAGGCAAAAAGACAACTTACATCTTCATACTCACAAATATTCGTTTTCTCTTCGGGTACAGGGTCCTCTAATTTGGAATGACATTCCTCTCTCACTTCGTAATTCACTTACTCTTTCTAGTTATAAACATAAACTGAGAGATTATTTTCAATCATTAAACTAAGTTTAAACTAAGCTGAACTCAATTTTTTTCTCCCTTCAAACTCTTTTCTTTATTACTTTTTGCACACTATCATTAATTGTTATGTTTATTTTGCTTTATATGTAGTGATAATTCTTTATATGTTGTAATAGTTTGCATTTTCTCTGTAAATCTTGTACTTATTAATTTTTATTCTCATTGTAACTTAGCAGTACATTGTAACTCTCTGACCAATGCCATATAAGCCTCTGGCTTTGGCATCTTATTATCGTTAACTTGTGCTTTGTGTACTTATTTATCAATAAAGAATTATGTCATGTTAAGAGAAAAAGAAAGAAGAAGAATGCAGGGCTGTGCTCTAGCAATGTCTATGGGAGACTAGGAATTCTTAGTTTGTTTCAAAGTAATCAGATGCTGGGCACCCTGGGTTTCACAGGTTCATAGTACTGGGGTCCCTCCAGTTTTCCTTAGAGTACAGACTTTTGGAATGACTTTAAACTAACAAGTTTTAAGTCATCCCAAGTGTCACCCATTTTTTTTAGCAGAGCCTGATCCATATTACTACAATACTTTAAATACTTACAGTCTATTTTCTCTCTCGTAGCTGTTAACAATTCTGGTGAACCAGCATTTATCAGTCTAGCAGGAGCCAACAGACATCTGTCAGTAGAAGACATTAAAGCAGCTGAACTTTTCATCAAATCTTGTCAAGTTGTGATCTGTGACAAGGGCATACCCCTCAAGATTGCAGAGGCAGCATTGCAGTATAGCAAAGAATTAGGCAAGAAAACTCTATTTAACCCATCTCCAAAGCTGGAAAGTCTGCCAAGGTCTATATACTTGAATGCTGATTCGTTAATTGTTAATAGAGAAGAAGGTGAGAGCTTAACGAACATGTTAGCAGATGATATTGAAGGAGCTAAGAAGGTTATTTGCAAACTACATCAGTGGGGAGCTAAACAAATAGTGTTGACTCTTGGATCTGAGGGGGCAATATCATCTGAAATCTCATCACAACACAGTGGTAAGTGCTGTCTTCTGTCCAGTTTAAAAATTTCAGAATTTACTAGGAGTTGTATGGAAAACCACTCAAGCGTCAAACGTGACGGGGTGGCAAGAGTTGTTGTTCTCATACAAATCCTTCTCATTTTTAATGGCCGTTGCAATCGCTACTTTTCAGGTATATGGCTGAAACAGGTTACCTAATTTTAATAAAATTATGTATTAGCAAACTGTTTTCGTGTTTACCAAAAGTTGATCACGTGATCAACTAATGCAAAAGGCCTATTGACCAGCTTGTCCTTCATACAATCCATTGTCACATTTTGCTTGGGCAGGGTTGCTGAGTGTGAGACTTAGATTATAGCGTGTGTAGTAAGGGTTTCCATGCCGGTTCATTGGGAAAAGTACACAGGGGAAATAATAGAGGGATTAAGGGAAAAGGGAGGTTTCTTTTCCTTTTTCAGCTCTTGTTACAATTTTCCCCAATAACTCAATAGGAGAGGCTTGCTACGCAGGCTACTGAGTTTATGATTTAATAGTTAGAAAATGTTTTTTAACCTGTTGTCACTTTTTTATTATTATTTATGTTGTGCAACATTATTTAAAAAATACATGTCCATAAGATAAATAATATATTATAATAATGTTAAATTAGTGAATGTAAATAGAAGATGACTTGCTTGGTCACTGCGGATTGGGCAAGTGATGTGAGGATGAAAGTTATAGTGAGGACATGGTATCAAAATGGTAGCAAAATTTCTGGATCTCAACAACATGTCCTGCAAATATGGCAGCCGTGTTGATCAATGTACTTGAATCTTTCTTCACTGATGAGCCAAAATCAATTCATCTGGGAGGGAACCACCAATTCTAAGCGCGTTGAGTCATTTTGAATATTATTATTCCAATAGTGTTATGAGGGGATCTGTTCATGGGCAAAACCCGCCAAACGATTGCCATTGTTCCAACTTGCCTAGCCTGTAGGATATCATTAGGGTTAGCATTAGGGGTAGGGTTAGGGGAAGGGGAGGTTGGGGTAGGGATAAGGGTAGGAGAAGGAGAGGGTAGGGTACAGCTTCAGAATTGAAAAAAAAGAGGGTTCTTATAGAAGGCACCCCTTTCTCTCTCTCCCCAATCCTACTCCCATTTTTCCTTTCTTTCCTCTCCCTTTCACTTTAATTTGATGCATGTCAAGGAGGCTATGTTCTCCTACAGTACAGTCATACAGATGTTTTTTCTTTCCAAGTTCCAGTAATGGTGCTCATACCAACACAGAAGGTAGAAGTAGTGGATACAACTGGAGCTGGAGATGCTTTAATAGGCGCATTAGCATTCTACATGTCATGTTATCCTCAGCTGTCTTTTGCAGAAATGGTGTTCAGAGCAGTCAACGTTGCAACAGTGACTGTAACAGCACATGGTGTACAAGCCAGTTATCCTGCTTCGGAACAACTGGATAAATGTCTGTTTGACAGCAATGCAAGAACAGCTGAACAATTAGGACTTGTATCACTGAATGTTGTTAATCTAGAAAATAGTCATGATGAACTTCCAGAATAATTTTATTGAGGAAAATAAATTTTCAATTGTTCTTAAAAAGGCACTGGCGCATGAGTTGGAAAAATCTGAGGAACAATAGGCTTGCTAGCCTGAGAAAAAAGCCAACATTCCGCGACACCACCAACGATTTCCCAGCGAAATGACATCTCAGAAATTAGTGCAGAAATTCTATACTGATGACGCGTCACTTCCCAGATCTGGTTAGTGTTTCTGATTGGTCGTAGCGCGCGGGAAATTTGCTTCAACCAATCAGAAGCACTAACCAGATCTGGGTAGTGACGCGTCATCAGTATGGAAATTCTGCACTCATTTCTCAGGCGTCATTTGGCGGGAAACCAGTGGTGGCGTCGCCAAACGTCGACTGTTCTCTCAGGGTGTAGACTTGCAGCAATGAAAACAAACGGGACCTATCGAAAAATAAGTCAAAGCGGTTTGTGCTTTGTAATTGGTAACAACGACGACGGCTACGCCAACGAGAGTATCAAATAAATAATCGATAGGTTTATGAAAAAAGAAGGCAATAATTTTGCACGTGCAGCACACTTTTCAGTGACTTTTTGGTACCTCTGTCTCTTTGCCGTCCAAGCACGACCACAACGTGAGATTTCCTAGACTTTCTCAAAGTACTTTGCGCTCCCTCGCTCGCTTTTGCCGCAGAAAACACAAAACATCTACCGCTCGCGCTTCGCGCTCGTAAAAAAAAATTGAGCTCGACTTGTAGGCAAATCTAGAGATTTCCTTATCAGACATTTTACGGAAGACGTGGACACATACAACGAATTTTTCTTTCTCTTTCTGTACTTGTTTCCTGTCCCCAAATAAATAACTCTAGAAGAATCCGGCTACATTTGACATTTTAAGCTAGCTGGAATAAAAGCGACAAAGTTTCAAAAAAACAGTCTTTTAAAAATGACCATCTCTCTGCCGTACGGAGCCCAGTAAGTGCCTAAAAATTTTGTGCGCAATTTTTCCTTAATAATTCTTTATATGTTGTAATAGTTTGCATTTTCTCTGTAAATCTTGTACTTATTAATTTTTATTCTCATTGTAACTTAGCAGTACATTGTAACTCTCTGACCAATGCCATATAAGCCTCTGGCTTTGGCATCTTATTATCGTTAACTTGTGCTTTGTGTACTTATTTATCAATAAAGAATTATGTCATGTTAAGAGAAAAAGAAAGAAGAAGAATGCAGGGCTGTGCTCTAGCAATGTCTATGGGAGACTAGGAATTCTTAGTTTGTTTCAAAGTAATCAGATGCTGGGCACCCTGGGTTTCACAGGTTCATAGTACTGGGGTCCCTCCAGTTTTCCTTAGAGTACAGACTTTTGGAATGACTTTAAACTAACAAGTTTTAAGTCATCCCAAGTGTCACCCATTTTTTTTAGCAGAGCCTGATCCATATTACTACAATACTTTAAATACTTACAGTCTATTTTCTCTCTCGTAGCTGTTAACAATTCTGGTGAACCAGCATTTATCAGTCTAGCAGGAGCCAACAGACATCTGTCAGTAGAAGACATTAAAGCAGCTGAACTTTTCATCAAATCTTGTCAAGTTGTGATCTGTGACAAGGGCATACCCCTCAAGATTGCAGAGGCAGCATTGCAGTATAGCAAAGAATTAGGCAAGAAAACTCTATTTAACCCATCTCCAAAGCTGGAAAGTCTGCCAAGGTCTATATACTTGAATGCTGATTCGTTAATTGTTAATAGAGAGGAAGGTGAGAGCTTAATGAACATGTTAGCAGATGATATTGAAGGAGCTAAGAAGGTTATTTGCAAACTACATCAGTGGGGAGCTAAACAAATAGTGTTGACTCTTGGATCCGAGGGGGCAATATCATCTGAAATCTCATCACAACACAGTGGTAAGTGCTGTCTTCTGTCCAGTTTAACAATTTCAGAATTTACTAGGAGTCAGTATGGAAAACCACTCAAGCGTCAAACGTGACAGGGTGGCAAGAGTTGTTGTTCTCATACAAATCCTTCTCATTTTTAATGGCCGTTGCAATCGCTACTTTTCAGGTATATGGCTGAAACAGGTTACCTAATTTTAATAAAATTATGTATTAGCAAACTGTTTTCGTGTTTACCAAAAGTTGATCACGTGATCAACTAATGCAAAAGGCCTATTGACCAGCTTGTCCTTCATACAATCCATTGTCACATTTTGCTTGGGCAGGGTTGCTGAGTGTGAGACTTAGATTATAGCGTGTGTAGTAAGGGTTTCCATGCCGGTTCATTGGGAAAAGTACACAGGGGAAATAATAGAGGGATTAAGGGAAAAGGGAGGTTTCTTTTCCTTTTTCAGCTCTTGTTACAATTTTCCCCAATAACTCAATAGGAGAGGCTTGCTACGCAGGCTACTGAGTTTATGATTTAATAGTTAGAAAATGTTTTTTAACCTGTTTTCACTTTTTTATTATTATTTATGTTGTGCAACATTATTTCAAAAATACATGTCCATAAGATAAATAATATATTATAATAATGTTAAATTAGTGAATGTAAATAGAAGATGACTTGCTTGGTCACTGCGGATTGGGCAAGTGATGTGAGGATGAAAGTTATAGTGAGGACAAGTCATTATGTTATGTTGCCATGGTAGCAAAATTTCTGGATCTCAACAACATGTCCTGCAAATATGGCAGCCGTGTTGATCAATGTACTTGCATCTTTCTTCACTGATGAGCCAAAATCAATTCATCCGGGAGGAAACCACCAATTCTAACCATGTTAAGTCATTTTGAATATTATTATTCCAATAGTGTTATGAGGGGATCTGTTCATGGGCAAAACCCGCCAAACGATTGCCATTGTTCCAACTTGCCTAGCCTGTAGGATAGCATTAGGGTTAGCATTAGGGGTAGGGTTAGGGGAAGGGGAGGTTGGGGTAGGGATAAGGGTAGGAGAAGGAGAGGGTAGGATACAGGTTCAGAATTGAAAAAAAAGAGGGTTCTTATAGAAGGCACCCCTTTCCCTCTCTCCCTAATCCTACTCCCATTTTTCCTTTCTTTCCTCTCCCTTTCACTTTAATTTGATGCGTGTCACGCAGGCTATGTTCTCCTACAGTACAGTCATATAGATGTTTTTTCTTTCCAAGTTCCAGTAATGGTGCTCATACCAACACAGAAGGTAGAAGTAGTGGATACAACTGGAGCTGGAGATGCTCTAATAGGTGCATTAGCATTCTACATGTCATGTTATCCTCAGCTGTCTTTTGCAGAAATGGTGTTCAGAGCAGTCAACATTGCAACAGTGACTGTAACAGCACATGGTGTACAAGCCAGTTATCCTGCTGCGGAACAACTGGATAAATGTCTGTTTGACAGCAATGCAAGAACAGCTGAACAATTAGGACTTGTATCACTGAATGTTGTTAATCTAGAAAATAGTCATGATGAACTTCCAGAATAATTTTATTGAGGAAAATAAATTTTCAATTGTTCTTAAAAAGGCACTGGCGCATGAGTTGGAAAAATCTGAGGAACAATAGGCTTGCTAGCCTGAGAAAAAAGCCAACATTCCGCGACACCACCAACGATTTCCCAGCGAAATGACATCTCAGAAATTAGTGCAGAAATTCTATACTGATGACGCGTCACTTCCCAGATCTGGTTAGTGTTTCTGATTGGTCGTAGCGCGCGGGAAATTTGCTTCAACCAATCAGAAGCACTAACCAGATCTGGGTAGTGACGCGTCATCAGTATGGAAATTCTGCACTCATTTCTCAGGCGTCATTTGGCGGGAAACCAGTGGTGGCGTCGCCAAACGTCGACTGTTCTCTCAGGGTGTAGACTTGCAGCAATGAAAACAAACGGGACCTATCGAAAAATAAGTCAAAGCGGTTTGTGCTTTGTAATTGGTAACAACGACGACGGCTACGCCAACGAGAGTATCAAATAAATAATCGATAGGTTTATGAAAAAAGAAGGCAATAATTTTGCACGTGCAGCACACTTTTCAGTGACTTTTTGGTACCTCTGTCTCTTTGCCGTCCAAGCACGACCACAACGTGAGATTTCCTAGACTTTCTCAAAGTACTTTGCGCTCCCTCGCTCGCTTTTGCCGCAGAAAACACAAAACATCTACCGCTCGCGCTTCGCGCTCGTAAAAAAAAATTGAGCTCGACTTGTAGGCAAATCTAGAGATTTCCTTATCAGACATTTTACGGAAGACGTGGACACATACAACGAATTTTTCTTTCTCTTTCTGTACTTGTTTCCTGTCCCCAAATAAATAACTCTAGAAGAATCCGGCTACATTTGACATTTTAAGCTAGCTGGAATAAAAGCGACAAAGTTTCAAAAAAACAGTCTTTTAAAAATGACCATCTCTCTGCCGTACGGAGCCCAGTAAGTGCCTAAAAATTTTGTGCGCAATTTTTCCTTTCTCAAATTTTTTCTCCCCCCTAAGTTTTTTTCCCGACTTTTTTCTCGACTCTTTTTCTTGACTTTTTTCTCTACTTCTTTCAGCGCTGATCACATACATCAAAGGCTCATTCATGGGTAGAAGTGCTAAGAGACATGGCCAGGCTGTCGCCATAACGAACCCAAATCGAGGTCTGGGTACATGATAACTGCCGCCACTGTCTGCCGTTCTAGTGAGATTACGCAACAAGACGGTATAAAAACTAGAATGGCAAAACGTTTATATGAGACAAACATGACATGGCTATTCCCTGCATGTTTGGTAGTGAAGTTCACTTAACATTACTATTCGCTCTTGTATTTAAATAAAAAAGTCGGCGGAAATTTTTTTCAAACATAATTATTATCACGCTTGTTACAGAACTAATGCGTTCGCTAATTGTACTCAGCTTTGAGGGGGGGAGGGGAAACAATGTTACGATAATGATCAACGCAAACACTCAGCGCGCTCTGTGTTCTTTATAATTAATACAATAACGATTAGCGCGCTCTATGTTGTTTTTTGATTGATACAATGATCATTAGCGCGCTGTGTGTTGTTTTTGATTGTTACGATGATGTTTAGCGCGCTGTGTTGTTTTTGATTGATACAATGATGATTAGCGGGCTCTGTATTGTTTTTGATTCTTACCATAATGATTATCTCGATCTGTCTGGTTTTTGATTATTACAATGATGATTAGCGCGCTCTGTGTTGTTCTTGATTGTTCCGATGATGATTAGCGCGCTCTGTGTTTTTTTTTATTGTTATGATGATGATTAGCGCGCTCTGTGTTGTTTTTGATTGTTACGATGATGTTTAGCGTGCTCTGTGTTGTTTTTGATTGTTACAATGATGTTTAGCGCCCTCTTTTTTGTTTTTGATTGTTACGATGATGCTTAGCGCGCTCTTTGTTATTTTTGATTGTTACCATAATGTTTAGCGCGCTCTGTGTTGTTTTTGATTGTTACGATGATGTTTAGCGTGCTCTGTGTTGTTTTTGATTGTTACAATGATGTTTAGCGCACTCTTTGTTGTTTTGATTGTTACGATGATTTTTTAGCACGCTCTGTGTTGTTTTTTATTGTTACGATGATGTTTAGCGCGCTCTGTAATATTTTTGATTGTTACGGTAATGTTCAGAGCGCGCTCTGTGTTGTTTTTGATTGTTACGGTGATGATTAGCACGCTCTGTGTTGTTTTTTATTGTTACGATGATGTTTAGCGCACTCTTTGTACTTTTTTATTGTTACGGTGCTCTTTAGCGCGCTCTGTGTTTTTTTTGATTGTTACGATAATGTTTAGCGCGCTCTGTGTTGTTTTTAATTGTTAAGATGATGATTAGCGCGGTCTGTGTTGTTTTTAATTGTTATGATGATGTTTAGCGCGCTCTTTGTTGTTTTTGATTGTTACGATGATGATTAGCGCGCTTTGTGTTGTTTTTGATTGTAACGATAATGTTTAGCGCGCTCTGTGTTTTTTTTGATTGTTACGATGATGATTAGCGCGTTGTGTTGTTTTGGATTGTTACGATAATGTTTAGCGCGCTCTGTGTTGTTTTTTATTGTTACGGTGGTGATTAGCGCGCTCTATGTTCTTTTTGATTCTTACGATAGAGCGATTTTCGTATGACCTCGAAATGAAAACGCGCTAACAAAACAGAAACAACAAACGAACGGAAATAGAGCGATTTGATTGGTTTATCGAACAGATACAAACGCACGCGGCTTTTGGTTGGTTGAACGAACGCTCGGGTGAAAAAACTTCACGCCCCAGAACTTTCTAGAAATCAACCGATGCTTCGCTTTGACGTCATACTGCGACGTGACTGGCGAATTGAACAATGCCTTTTCACGTTAGGGTTTTCTTTGGCGGGAAAACGAAGAGGCCATGTTTTGACCTATTCATCCATTGGCTGATGAAACAAATAAGAAACACTTACCGAAACCATTTTTCAAGGTCATACGAAAATCGCTCTAATGTTTAGCGCAGTCTTTGTTGTTTTTGATTGCTACGATGATAATTAGAACTCTATTTTTTTTTTATTGTTTCGATGATAATTAGTGCGCTCTGTGTTGTTTTTGATTGTTACGATAATGATTACCGCACTCTTTGTAGTTTTTGATTGTTACGATGATGTTTAGGGTGCTCTGTGTTGTTTTTGATTGTTACGATAATGATTAGGGCTCTCTTTGTAGGTTTTGATTGTTACGATGGTTATTAGCGCAATCTGTGTTGTTTTTCACTGTTACGATGATGATTAGCGCACTCTTTGTACTTTTTGATTGTTACGATCCTGGTTACCGCTCGCTGAGTTGTTTTTGCTTGTTACGATGATGATTAGCGCGCTCTGTGTTGTTTTTCATTGTAACGATGATGATTAGCGCGCTCTTTGTTGTTTTTACTTGTTACGATGATCATTAGCGCGCTCTGTGTTGTTTTTAATTGTTACGATGATGATTAGCGCGCCCTCTTTTGTTTTTGATTGTTACGATGATCTTTAGCGCGCTCTGTGTTGTTTTTGATTGTTACGATGATGTTTAGCGCCCTCTTTGTTGTTTTTGATTGTTACGATGATGATTAGCGCGCCCTGTTTTGTTTTTGATTGTTACGATGATGTTTAGCGCGCTCTGTGTTGTTTTTGATTGTTACGATGATCTTTAGCGCCCTCTGTGTTGTTTTTGATTGTTACAATAATGTTTAGCGCACTCTTTGGTGTTTTTGATTGTTACAATGAAATTTAGCGCGCTCTGTGTTATTTTTTATTGTTACGATGATGAATAGGGCGCCCTTTGTTCTTTTTTATTTCAACGATGATGATTAGCGCGCTTTGTGTTGTTTTTGATTATTACGATAATGATTAGCGCGCTCTGTGTTTTTTTTGATTGTTACGATGATGTTTAGCGCCCTCTTTGTTGTTTTTGATTGTTACGATGATGATTAGCTCGCTCTTTGTTATTTTTGCTTGTTACGATGATGATTAGCGCGCCCTGTTTTGTTTTTGATTGCTACGATGATGTTTAGCGCGCTCTTTGTTGTTTTTTATTGTTACGATGAGGTTTAGCGCGCTTTGTGTTGTTTTTGATTGTTACGATGATGTTTAGCGCACCCTTTGTTGTTTTGATTGTTACGATGATTTTTTAGCACGCTCTGTGTTGTTTTTTATTGTTACGATGATGTTTAGCGCGCTCTGTAATATTTTTGATTGTTACGGTAATGTTCAGAGCGCGCTCTGTGTTGTTTTTGATTGTTACGATGATGATTAGCACGCTCTGTGTTGTTTTTTATTGTTACGATGATGTTTAGCGCACTCTTTGTACTTTTTTATTGTTACGGTGCTCTTTAGCGCGCTCTGTGTTTTTTTTTATTGTTACGATGATGATTAGCGCGTTGTGTTGTTTTTGATTGTTACGATAATGTTTAGCGCGCTCTGTGTTGTTTTTAATTGTTAAGATGATGATTAGCGCGGTCTGTGTTGTTTTTAATTGTTATGATGATGTTTAGCGCGCTCTTTGTTGTTTTTGATTGTTACGATGATGATTAGCGCGCTTTGTGTTGTTTTTGATTGTAACGATAATGTTTAGCGCGCTCTGTGTT